TCATAAATAAAATGTTCATTTGTAATATTATGTTGAGAATCCTTTACTGGCAATGACTACCTGAAGTCTGGAACCCATGGACATTACCAAAGACTTGGTTTCCTCCTTTCTGCCTTTAGTTTTACCTTCAGCAAGTGAAATGCATGCTCAATTGGGTTGAGATCAGGTGATTGACGCAGCCATTGCAGAATATTCCACTTCTTTTCCTTCAAAAGCTCCTGGGTTGCTTTTGCAGTGTGTTTTGGATCATTGTCCATCTGTACTGTGAAGCGCTGTCCAATCAAATTTGCTGCATTTGTCTGAATCTGGGCTGACAGTATATCTCTAAACACTGCAGAATTCATCCGGCTGCTTCTGTCTTCTGTCACATCATCAATAAACACCAATGACCCAGTGTCACTGGAAGCCATGCATGCCCATGCCATCACACTGCCTCCACCATGTTTTACAGATGACGTTGTGTGCTTTGGATCATGAGCTATTCCAAGTCTTCTTGACACTTCTTTCTTCCCGTCATTCTGGTACAGATTAATCTTCGTTTCATCCGTCCAAAGAATGCTTTTCCAGAACTTGTCTGGCTTTTTTAGATGTTTTTGGCAAAGTCTAATCTGGCTTTTCTATTCATCAGGATTATGAATTGTTTGCACCTTGTGGTGAACCCTCTGTATTTGCTCTTGTGCAGTCTTCTCTTGATTGTAGACTTTGACAATGATACGCCCATCTCCTGGAGAGTGTCCTTCACTTGTCTGGATGTTGTGAATGGGTTTTTCTTTACCATAGAGAGGATCCTTCATTCATCCACCACTGTTGTCTTTTGTGGACGTCCATGCCTTTTTATGTTGCTGAGCTCACCAGTGCATTCTTCTTTACTTAGAATGTACCAAACTGTTGATTTGACCACTCCTAATGTTGATGCTATCTCTCTGATGGATTTGTTTAGTTTTTGAAGACTTACAATGGCCTGTTTCACTTTTAATGACAGCTCCTTTGAATGCATGATGTAGGTTCACAGGAATAGATTCTAAATGCAAATACCACACTTAGAATCAACTCCAGACCTTTTATCTGCTTAAATGATGAGGAAATAACGAAGGAGTAGCCCACACCTGGCCATGAAACAGCTTTTGATTCAATTGTTCAGTTACTTTTGGTCCCTTGAAAAAGGGAGGATGGCTACTCTTAAGAGCTGTAATTCCTAAACTCTTCTTCCAATTTGGATGTACAGTACATACCCTCAAATTAAACCTGAGAGTGTGCATTTTCAGCCCATATCCATTATATAACTATAGCTTGAAAATTTGCAAAACCTTTTTTGTCAGTCAATAAATGAAATGGAAAAATAAATAAAATTAGTTTCATGTATCAGAGTAGTAATATTTGGAGTTTACAGTTAGCTTTGAAGTTCGTTTTGTCAGTTTATATTATATTGGTGCGATTGTAGTAGAGGTACTAGTTTCCCGTTTGTTGGCCAGTTCTGCCCAGTACTAAGATGGCGGTTTAGGACTCCCTGCCAATTAAGTAAGCAGGGATAAGAGGAACCATCGTCCAGACGTCTACATCCCCTCAGAAGTCGGGAAGTGACGAAAGACGTCAGGGGACGTGTGGTCTGACGTGACGGCTCAAACCAGAAGTGGTGGAGCGGCCATTTTTACTACTGGAAAACTGATATTACATTTCAGGGAGCTGCCCAGGCATAGTTATGCAGCTGACAGTTCGAGATTCCAATGTAAGATATTTATAATAAATGTTCATGCTTTCTGATATTACTCTACATGAGCTTCCTTTCTATTTTATGAGGATGAGGAGACATTAGATACTTGCCTAAAAGTGGAACCCCACCTGTGTAAACTGGAGTGAGAGTCCAGGGAATGGTTACTACACTGGAGTGAGAGTCCAGGGTGTACCCTACAAGGCTTGTTATCACTTTGAGAGGGTAGTTGTATGCATTTCAGCTTTAGAAGAGTGCACTATTTATTTATTCATTTTATTTAATTTATTTTGATTTAATTATATATATTTTATTTTTTATTTTTTTGTGTACACTGATTGCTCACGTTTATGTATTTATCTAAGGTGTACACAGAGTGGATTTCACGATTCACGTGTTGCTCACGATTTGAATCCTGTTTAATTTTTGCACATATATTTGCATGAATGTTTGCACGTATTTGTGTTAAGTATATACTTATTGTTTGTTTAAAGTATATACCTGTTGTCATTTAAGGTAATGCACTATATAGTATTTTTTGAGGTACACACTGGATTTTTGTGGAGGTACAAGTTGGACACGGAAGAGAATGTTTCTGTAATTAATTTGTTTGGACTTTATTTTTGTGGATTTTATTTTTATTTGTTATTTTTCCATTTCATTTATTGACTGGCACAAAAAAGGTTTTGCAAGTTTGATTCACTTTCAGGGGTGAAGGTGTGCCTTTTTTGGACTTTGTTAGGTGTTTGTGGGACTTTATTAGTTTTATTTAGGTTATAGCTTTAATTAATTTATTATCCTTTTGGATACCGAAATTATACATTTGGATATAGCTTGAAAATATTTTGGTAAATACCTGAAAAAAAAACTAAAATTGTGCCTAAGTCCACATATATATGAACCTAACTGTATAGAAACAGTGTATATATATATATATATATATATTTTTTTTTTTTTTCAAACGTATTGGGACACATCTCCAAATCATTGGATTCAGGTGTTCCAGTCACCTCCATGGCCACAGGTCTATAAAATCAAGCACCTAGGTATGCAGACTACTTCTACAAACATTTTTGAAAACATGGGTCGCTCTCTGGAGCTTAGTGAATTCAAGCGTGGAACTGTGATAGGTTGTCACCTGTGCAATATGTCCTTGCTACTAAATATTCCACGTTCAACTGTTAGTGGTATTATAACAAAGTGGAAGCAACTGGGAATAATAGCAACTCATCCATGAAGTGGTAGGCCACATATGACTGAGCGTGGTCAGTGCATGCTGAAGCGCACAGTGCCCAGAAGTTGCCAACTGTCTGCAGAGTCAACAGCTAAAGACCTCCAAACTATGTGTGGCCTTCAGATTAGCACAACAGTGCATAGACCGCTTAATGGAATGGGTTTCCATGGCCGAGCAGCAGCATCCAAGCCTTACATCACCAAGTGCAATGCAATGCGTTGGATGCAGTGGTATAAAGCACGCTGCCACTTGACTCTAGAGCAGTAGAGACGCGTTCTCTGGAGTGACGAATCACGCTTCTCTCTCTGGCAATCTGATGGACGTGTCTGGGTTTGGAAATTGCCAGGAGAACAGTACTTGCCTGACTGTATTGTGCCAAGTTTGATGGAGGGGGGATTATGGTGTGGGGTTGTTTTTCAGGGGTTGGGCTTGGTTCCAGTGAAGGGAATTCTTAAGGTGTCAGGTTGAGGTCAGGACCTTGCGTTGTGCACTGGTGCGCAGTCATGTTACAACAGGAAGGGGCCATCCCCAAACTGTTCCCACAAAGTTGGGAGCATTAAATTGTCCAAAATGTTTTGGTATGCTGACGTCTTAAGAGTTCCTTTCACTGGAACGAAGAGGCCAAACCAATCCCTGAAAGACAACCCCTACACCATAATTCCCTCTCCACCAAACTATACTTGGCACAATGCAGTCAGGCAAGTACCATTCTGGCAACAGCCAAACCCAGACACATCCATCAGATTGCCAGAGAAGCGTGATTCATCACTCCAGAGAACACGTCTACACTGCTCTAAAGTCCAGTGGCGGCGTGCTTTACACCACTGCATGCGGTGCTTTGCATTGCACTTGGTGATATAAGGCTTGGATGCAGATGCTTGGCCTTGGAAACCCATTCCATGAAGCTCTCTACGCACTGTTGTTATGCTAATCTGAAAGCCACATGAAGTTTGAAAGCCTTTAGCAATTGATTCTGCAGACAGTTGGTGATTTCTGCGCATTGTACGCTTCAGCATCCGCTGACCCCTCTCTGTCATTTTACGTGGCCTACCTCGTGGCTGAGTTGCTGTTGTTTCCAGTTGCTTCCACATTGTTATAATACCACAAAAAGTTGACTGTGGAAATATTTAGTAGCAAGGAATTTTCCCGAATGGACTTATTGCACAGGTGGCAACCTATCATGGTACAATGCTTGAATTCACTGAGCTCCTGAGAGCGACCCATTCTTTCACAAATATTTGTAGCAGTCTGCATGCCTAGGTGCTTGATTTTATACACCTGTGAGCATGGAGGTGATTGGAACACCTGAATTCAATGATTTGGAGGGGTGTCCCAATACTTTTGGCAATATAGGGTGTATATATATATATATATATTATTATACAGGATTTATATAGCGCCAACAGCTTGCGCAGCGCTTTACAAAATTAAGATAGAAATAAGTTACAATACAATTTAGTACTATATATATATATATATATATATATATATATATATATATATACACATATATACACACACACACACACTGCTCAGCATAAATGAGTACACCCCTTTTGAAAAGTAAGATATTAATCAATATCTCAATGAACACAAGAACAATTTCCAACATTTTGGCAAAACTGAGTTTTATAGAACATTTGTTTAGCTCATTACAGGAAAGTAAGGTTAATATAACTTAGATTACAAAATCTTCAGTTTTACTCAAATTAGTTGATGCAAAAATTAATACACCCCACAACAAAAACTACTCCATCTAGTATTTTGTATGACCTCCATGATTTCTAAGGACAGCACCAAGTCTTCTAGGCATGGAATGAACAAGTTGGCGACATATTGCAGCATCTATCTTTTTCCATTCTCTTCAGAACCACCTCTTTTAGAGCCTGGATGCTGGATGGAGAGTGATGCTCAACTTGTCTCTTCAGAATTCCCCATAGGTGTTCAATTGGGTTCAGATCAGGAGACATACTTGGCCACTGAATCACTTTCACCCTGTTCTTCATAAATGCAACAGTGGTCTTAGATGTGTGTTTTGGATCATTGTCATGTTGGAAAAGTGCACAATGACCAAGGGCACGGAGTATAGGTAGCATCTTCTTTCAATATAGAGCAGTACATCTCTGAATTCATGATAACATCAATGAAATGCAGCTCCTTGACACCAGCAGCACTCATGCAGCCCCATAGAAGGACACTACCACCACATTTCATGGCAGGCACCATGTATTTTTCTTTGTACTCCTCACCTTTGCTACACCATACAGTTTTGAAGCCATCAGTTCCAAAAACATTTATGTTGGTCTCATCCCTCTAGAGTACAGAGTCCCATTAGTCTTCTTTTTCTGCATGGGCCCTGGCAATGTCTAGGCGGGCTTTTTTGTGCATGGGCTTTAGGAGAGGCTTCCTTTGTGGATGACACCCATGCATGCCATTCCTCTGCAGTGTACGCTGTATTGTGTCACGGGAAACAATCATTCCAGTTTGGCTTTCTGCTCCTTTAGCTAACTGTAGTGAACTTGCATAGTGATGATCTTCAACCCTTCTCATCAGATGACACTCCTGTCGAGGTGTTAACTTCCATGGATGGCCTGGATGTCTCAGTGAGATGGTTGCAGTTTCACATTGTTAAATGTTTGTATCACTTTTGCTACTGTATTCTGACTGATAAGTAAAGCTTTGCTGATCTTCTTGTAGCCTTCACCTTTCTTGTGTAAAGAAATTATTTTCTTTCTCAGGGCTTGTGACATTTCTCTTCCATGTGGTGCCATTGCTGACAGCATGAAATGGGAGGGGTTTTCTTTGTTACGTAGTGCACTTTTATAATCAACTGTCTGCTGGACAACTGTTTAATGAATAATTAGACTCAACTGAGTTGAATTCTTGCTGTATTTTTATAGTATAGTGTCCCATAGAAAATGTTGATTCTGAAAAGGGAAGTAAAGGTTTTCTGACAAATCTGTTGGTGTGTACTCATTTATACTGGGCACTGTATTTATTTATAAATCCAAAACTGGTTTAGAGGCACTCATGGGTCTTGCAGAGGAGGAAGATAATAAACAAGTGTTTTATTCTCAACGTTTTGATCAAGCTCAGCCCATCTTTCTCAAGACATCTTGAAAACCATAGACTGAGCTTCATCGAAACGTTGACAAAAAACCATTTGTTTTTGATCTTCCTCCTCTGCAAGACCCACGAGTGCCTCTAAACAAGTTTTGGATTTATATGGATTTCTTTGTGGGTGAGCACCTGGACATTTACTTCAACCATAGAGTGCCGTGGATACCCTTGGAAGTATATAATTTCTTGTATTTTCCACTTTTACCTTTATGAATGCAGTTTTATTATGTTTTACTTTGTATTCTTAGCACTTTATGCCATATGTGTATTTTTTGCTTGGACAATTGAACTCTGCTAAAACCAAAGACTTTGCAAGTATTCTGCCTTTTTAACTCCTCTCTTTTATTTCTGTTGCTTTATTGTTCTCATGTCTTTGTAACATCCCTTTCTGTAAATATTTAAATTGCACCATTTTGACCTTTTTAATAATAAACCCTATTTTGAAAAGTGTTGAAACTGTTTACAAAGCTTTTAATGCACACTAAAGAATCCCGGTCTCTTGAACAGTGCTACTGTATATAATAGTCCTCTGAATATACTTGTCTGTGGTGACAGTGTGTGTTACAGACTTTTATTGTTCACAATTGTTCTTGCTAACATTGTGAAGGGTTGACAGGCCCAAAGCTATCTGGTGGCAGTTTGGAGTTTGAAGGGTTAACTGCATAATTAACCTAACCCAGTGACAATCGCTCTCAGGCTGCTGGCACATAGATTGTGGTCCCACAAGCTGGAAAATCTTGTGTCGGGTGCAGCTGAGAGTGGCATTGTTACGCAAGTGACAGCACGGTGTGAGATTGGCTGGTCCTTTGTCACGAGTTGGTGAGAAGGGCAGGGGTTGGGCACCGCGTTGCATCACACCTGTTACTTGTTATTAAATGCGAAAGGCCAACGTTTTTTTTTTATCCAAAATACATTTATTCTTACTGTATTTGGAGGTGCTTTCTTTTATCTTTTCTTGACACAGAAATGTTAACTTACTACTGTAAGCTGTGGATAAAGGCCAACAAATGACACCATGAAACTACACGATCAATGCACATAGCATGCAGATCAAAACACAAGTAGGAAGGCTGTGGCAGGTTTGCCTGCATCCACATTTCCCCGATGTGGTATGTTGTGGAGAGAGATCAATGATCACTTGTTTTCTACTTCTCATAGTTACTCTGGTATTCAACTCAGCTAATGAGGATAAATGAGACCCTTTTTACTTATTATTAAATATCTATTTCTAAATGAAGCAGAACAATGTTGAACTTCCAAGAATAAGCATAATAAGAGCAGCAAGTGAATTCAGAGAAATTGATATTTACGGCCCACACATATCCTTCACCTTGCTATCACCTTAATAAAGTATCCTTGAGACAGACACAGGGCTTAGTCAATGCAGACATATAACTTGCATCATTCATTACAGCAGAACTAAATCTAATTCAGGGGAAGAGCTAAAAATGGAGCATGTGACCAGGCATACATAGGTGTTTACAGGCATTTAGAAGCAGAAAAAAACCACTTCCAGTGTGTTCAGGAGCAGAAGCATTTTGGCAGAAAAAACCCTGATGAACCTAAAAGCAATTACCGTATTTTTCGCACCATAAGACGCACTTTTTTCCCCCCAAAAAAGGGTTGAAAATGTCAGTGCGTCTTATGGAGCGAATATGGAGCGGCCGGTCCGGTATTTCCACTGCTGCCGTGTCAGAATACCGGGCCGGCCGCTCAGCTCTACAGCGGGACCTTATAGAGATGACTGCTGACCTTTGGGGAGGGGGGGGAGCGGGTACCTGAATTTGACAGATACCCACTCCCACTTCCGTGGAGTTGTTCTTTCATCTTACCCGTTCCTCTATCCAGCGGCGCGGTCTTCCCGGCTTCTGTAGTGTGGGCATGACAGCCGGGTGCCAAGTGCACATGCGCAGGAAGCGGTGCTTTTTGTGAATGGTAAGGCGGCACCTGGGACACATGAGAGATCCCAGAAGCCGCCGGACCATTCACAAAGCGCAAGTGCTTCTCGCTCATGCGCACTGGGCACCCGGCTGTCATGCCGAGCGCCATTACAGAAGCCGGGAAGACAGTGCGCGGCTGGATAGAGGAACAGGTAAGATGAAAGAACAACTCCGCGGAAGTGGGAGCGGGTACCTGTCAAATTCAGGTACCCACTCCCCACCTCCCCAAAGGTCAGCAGTCATCCCCTGTACTATCCACAGTCTCTGGTCATCCCTGTGCTGTCCGCAGTCTCTGGTCATCCCCTGTACTGTGTCCGCAGTCTCTGGTCATTCCTGTGCTGTCCGCAGTCTCTGGTCATCCCCTGTACTGTGTCCGCAGTCTCTGGTCATCCCCTGCACTGTGTCCGCAGTCTCTGGTCATCCCCTGCACTGTGTCCGCAGTCCGCAGTCTCTGGTCATCCCCTGTACTGTGTCCGCAGTCTCTGGTCATCCCCTGCACTGTGTCCCGCAGTCTCTGGTCATCCCCTGTACTGTGTCCGCAGTCTCTTGTCATCCCCTGTACTGTGTCCGCAGTCTCTGGTCATCTCCTGCACTGTGTCCGCAGTCTCTGGTCATCTCCTGCACTGTGTCCGCAGTCTCTGGTCATCTCCTGTACTGTGTCCGCAGTCTCTGGTCATCTCCTGTACTGTGTCCGCAGTCTCTGGTCATCTCCTGTACTATGTCTGCAGTCCATTAGTTCAGAATTTTTTTTTCCTGTTTTCTGCCTCTAAAACCTAGGTGCGTCTTATGGAGCGAAAAATACGGTAAGTGACTTTTAGGCATATTTGGTTAAGCTGGCTTTCTCCTGCCAGAAGAAAAGCGTTTGGAAGAGCTGGGGAAACGCCCAGTGTGCGTGAGGCCCTAACTGGCCATAGATGAGTAGACTTTCAAACAAAAATTCCTGGGGAAAGAATGATCTAAGAAAGTTTGTTCATTTTTCTAACCATTAGTATCAGATTTTATTTCAGACTGCAGTGACGAGTAAATTCAGAGAAGCAGGATGGAAAATTATTCTGGAATGAACGAATTTGTAACAGTTTATGTGGTTTTTGTTCAGTAAAATCTTTCCATAATCATTCCAAAATCAAATATGAAAAGCAAACAAAATCTTTAAAATGAAAGTTCAATGGTTTGTGAGAATTTTCATTCAAAATTATATCCATCAATGGCCAGCTTTAGGCTGCCCATACCGGGTTTACTGTACAAAAGAAAAAAAAAAAAGCTGCCAAAACCCAAAAAAATAAAATGTATATGTTAATTTTTTGTCCATGCTCAAATTGGCACACGCAAGGCGTGGCACATTTCTCCATCAAACCTATATAGACAACTTACAACAATAGTGTTGCACTGGCTCTAACATGCTGTTAACCACTTCCCACCCACCATATAGTTGATATATGGCTATGGGGTGCTATTGTCGTTTTGGGGAGGATGTCCAAGGATGTCCTTTCCGCTCATGCCCCTGGGGTGTGCAGTGATGTGAACCTGTGGCCACCAGACATAGCGGATCACTTGCTTAGTACCTGACTGAGGTGAGCGCTGGGGTATCATGTGATCACCATGACCAATCATAGCAATCACATGAGGACATGTAAACAAACGGGTCACGAATGGCCACTCATGACAGCTTGCCATTTTTATTTTAATTTCTTAATTTTTCCAAAAAATTGTAACAAAAAAAATTACAACTTTAAAAAACTTGCAATGCCTCTTACTAAATACTTTGGAATCCCTATTTTCCAAAAAGGGGTCAATAGGGGTTATTTGTACTGTTCTATATATACAGTATATTGACACATAAATTGACATGCTGTAGTGAATGCCTCTGATTTTAAAAGTCCTTCCAAAATATTGTGCCCTGGCTTGTAATTCCACAACTCCAGTGCTGCATAGCAAATGTGCTACACTTTTGTGGTGACTATGCCCTCACCTTAGGGTATGGACCCATATATACATGTACAAAACAAGTCACATGCGCATATTCCCCAGCCTGAGGGTGTCCTTAGGATCTCTTCAACACATGAAAATGTACTATCCACCACTCAAAAACACAAGTATGGTCCTGTTTAAAAGAACATCACTACCACCTTGCATCTACAAAATGTGTTCAAAGCATATGAAAGGCTACTATAGTATAGTATTTAAAATCTGCTTGTACTTTATTAAATAAATTATAAACTCACATCATTTAGGGGTCATTCCAGCATTGTAAAACACAGCAGACATCTACAAATCAGTGTTGGGGCCACACTTCCAGTTTCCACAATGACGTCACCCAGCTCTGCCCAATCCGTTGCATCATCCAATCACATGACTTCATCATCCCCTGATGAATTTTGATCCATGTATGGCCAGCTTTA